CCGGCCCGCGCACCCCCCAGGCCGCCGGGCGCTCCCGCGACGGCCATGTTAATGCAGAAGCAGCAGTGCAGCCCGCGGGCCCGCGCGGCGCCCGGCCGAGCCCGGGAGCGAAGTTTGCCCGCGCCGCAGCCCCCGGCGGGCACCGGCCGCTCGCCCCTCGCCGAGTCCGTCCCGGGCCGGGAAGCACCCGGCCCCCTTCCCAGTGCCGCCGCCCCGCGCCGGGACGCGCGCCGCCGGAGCCCGCAGCCCGCAGCCGCCCCTGGGCTCGCGCCACCGCCGCCGCCGCCGCCGCCGCCGCCGCCGCAGCTGCCCTAACATCTGGCCTCTGGGGGCCTCGGCCCCTCGGCCGCTGCCCTGGGGGGGAGGGCGGGGGGAGGGCGGCGGCCGAGGGCGGCTCCCCGAAGGGGGCTCAGCCCCGACTGCGGGGAGCTGAGGATGAAGCATTGAAAAGTTGAAACACCTGAATTGCTTCTTCCTTCCCGGCCACCTAGCAAGAGGGAAGGAGAAGGGGCGGGAAGGGCGCGGGGACGACAGGCAGGGGGAAGCGGCGGCGGAGCGCGCTCGCGGCGGCGCGGGCCGGAAAGTTGTGCGGGCGCTGCGGCGGCGGCGATAGTGGCGGCGGCGGCGGCAGTGGCGGCGGCAGCGGCGGGCGCGGGCGGTGCGAAACGTACCTGTATTGTTCGCTAGTCTGGGCAGCGCAGGGCACGACGCGCGGCTCAGCGCTCCCCAGCCTCGCGCTAGCTGCCTCCACGAGAGCCGCCTGATTGGCCAGCGGGCTCCGCCGTTTAAAACAGCCTCCTCGCCCGGCCATTGGCCGCGGGCCTCATGCATATTAAACAGGCGCGGGCGCCCATTGGGCGCGGCCGCTGGGATCATTCATTCAAACAGAACAACCCGCCGGCGCTGGCTGCTGAGGCAAAACAGAGGGATAATAATATTCTCGCTTTCCCACACACACCGCCCCCCCTCTCGAACCGAGCAAGGATCTCAAAGGACTTTGGAGAGGTGGCCCCGCCATTCCCGGCGGCCTGGGCCTCTGGCGTGGGAAGACGAGGTCGAGCCCAGCTGCGCGACCGTCTGCTCCCGCGGCGCCACGGCCTGGGCGTCCCTGGCCCCGGCCCCTGGTCCCCAGGCAGCCCCTCAGACCCGGAAAATCTCCGGGGACCGACCAGCGAGGGTCGACGGGCCTCCACCTCTACCCAGTTCCAGCGCAGCTCCGCGGCAGGGGCCCGGCCTCAGCTCACTGGCTCCTTTCTCATTGCGGGTGGAAGACAGCAGTTCGCTCGCCGAGACCTCGGGGTTTGGGCGCTTGGGCCCTGCTGCCCCGCCCGAAGCGGACCTGACTGTGCTCCCGCGGATCGCGCTCGGCTAGGCTCTGTGCACTAAATGCCAGAAATTTGATTTGTGCCTGCATGTGCGGAAAGGGCGAGCTAGGTGGGCTACAGAAGGGAAAAGGAGTTTGGCAAAAAGCAGAGAAATTGCGAGACACTGTAGTTTTGTGGGCAGGGAGTCCCTCCCCCCCCCCCACTTAACTGCCTCAGTTCAGGTCCGCATTCCCTCTGTTCTCCTGACAAACACCCTGGTGAAGAATAAAAGTTCTTGTTATGAATGAATATGAATGAATGGGCTTTGACTCGGCCTTGGCTTTGCCACTGGCTGGTGATATGGCCTTGAGCAAGTCACTTCTTTGGCGGGGGTGCGGGGGGGGGGAAGGAAGGGGGGTTAAGGCAATGGCTTTCAAAATGTAGGGAGAGGTAGTGTCTCCTCTAAGGGATGTTTGGAAGTGCCCCATGACTGGGAGTCCTTGCTGGAATTTTATAAGGGAAGGGGATGGCCAGGGATGCTAAATGTTCTGCATTGCACAGGACAGTCACACACAGAAAGTAATTCCCCGCTCCAAATGCTAGTATCAGCCTTGCCGGCAAATATGAGGGCCCTTCCCTCTTTGAGGTACCACAAGCTTCCTGAAAAGAATGGAAGAACAAGGAAGGATGAGAAAAAGGGGCACATTTTAAGGACTGAAACTTGGAGAAAATAATGGAAGAGGAATCATGAGTTTTTCTATAGGAGGTTCTCTTTCTAAAGCACTTTAAGGGCCAAGATATCCAGCTATCTATAATTCCCATATTTAGAAAAGAGACCCACCAGATGAGTTTTCCAAATGCTGTTTCCAGAAACTGTGGCTGAGTTTGAAGTGTGCAAGGGAGCTGACCTCACAAAGGCCCCTTCCTCCCTACCCCACCCAGCTCTTGTCGACTCCCCTGAGCCTCCTGGGAAGGCCTGAAACCCCTCCAGCTTGCACTGCTAGGCTTCCATCATTAGGGATCCAACTGATACCGAAAGGCAAGGTAGTTCTGCTTTTGCCAAGAGCTGACAAGTATGGAGTCACTTCCCCATGTCCCCAGTTTAAAGACTCCCAGGAACACAAACATCTTAAGGCCACCTGGTCCAATCCTCTGCCCTGTTGGAGCTAGCTGAGTGGTTGCCTACCTTCTGCTGGCATACCTCCACTCACAGGGAGCTTACCGCCTCCCCTTTGGGCTGTCTCTTCCACCTCAGGTAATCTCTGAGCCTTGGGGGTCACCATCCTACACACAGTACAGTTCCTTACCCTTCAGGATTTCATGGCAGGCCAGGTCTCTTCTCCAGGCAAACAGCTCCAGCTTCTTCCACGATGAGGTTCTCCGGGTCCAACCTGCCCAGGCCATTCCCTTCTCCCCCCACCCTCCTCTGCCCTTCCCAGCGGAGAACAGGATCTCCACGTGTGATCTGACCAGGATCTCCCCTCTGCCAGAGTGCCCTAGCCTCTCAATGTCGGCGGGCCTTTTTAGGCCCAAGATGTGAGTTGGGGGGGGGGGTCTCAGGTTGGGACAGGGGTCTCCTTCTGGTCCATCCACTGCCTTGGCGTCCTGGCCATTTTGGGAACCTGCACTTAGCAGGTGGCAGGCACCAAGGGGGCGGACCAGTGCGTCAACCTTCAGAGCCCACAAGGCACTACTTGGGTGGGGACGCTGAGTGGATGGTGAGGTTCACATTTACAAGAACAAGCAATTCACAAGCAGCACATGTATACACACTCACACCCGGGCACATCGAGGGTGTTCCCAAAGACAGCAACTTGAAGGCCAAACCAGGGAAATAAGAGAATCCCCCATCTAGAAGAGACTGTACAGTAAGTGATGTCCAGACACCCCCCGCAAGACCCATTCTTCCCCACCCCCTGCCACAGCCCTGCCCATTGGCGTCCTATTGCTGCGTACATACTTCGGATGACGAACGGTTTGCTCCCGTTCTTCAAAGGAAGAATTTCCATCTCAGCTCCTGAGAAAGCTCCTTGTCCTGGAGCAGAAGCTCTTGTCCTGAAGCTGAAACCTGTGGTCACTGTCATCAGAACCTCACAGTACATGACTATGACATGGCTGAGCGAGTCAGAGATCTGAAGATGGTTGCTATGGTTCCCTGCTCCTCCCCCCCCCCACACACAACAAATGCACATATCCCCCCAACTCTCCATGTCTTTTTTAGGTCCAATCTCCCCAGTTCCTCCATCCGTCCCTCACAAGCCTTGGTTGGGAGGCTCCTCACAGTGTCTTTCTCCTCAGTACTGCTCATGTGTGGCAGCATGCCTGAACACAGGTTGTGGCCTAGCAGGTTCCTACCTCAGCGGAAACTCATAACTCAGTTCCATGTTCAGAAGGGGGATGAGGTGACATGAACGGTGGCGCTAGAAGGCAGCGGCAAGGTTGTGGCTTTGGGCCCTGTCACTGACTTTGGGTCGGCCTCGGCTATGTCACCTCACCTCTCTCAAAGGTGATTTGACCCACCTATCCACCCCTGGCCACTGTGCCATCTGCTTGTGAGGGAGGTGATACTGGTCAGACACCTCTGAAGGCCGTCTGCTTGTCACCTGTAAAAGGCCACCCGGGGAGAGCTAAAGACCAGTCTGGAAAGTGACAAAAGTGACAGAAAGTCAGGGGTGCCTGGGCATGGCCTGAACTCAGGGGCCCCGAGGCAGCCTGCTCCACTGTCTGCAGCAAAGCCCAGTGCCCGGTGACTTGGGGGTAGCTCCAACTGGTCAAGGCGAGGGACGGCACTCTGGGCCTCTGCCCTGGCCCTCACTGGAAAGTACTTTAACCACATCAATCACCTCTGAGGCCCAGCGCCAGACCAAGCCCATCCACAGAGGGGAACCTCAAACCAGAATCCCCTAAGCTGCTTGGCTGCCTGGAAAGGTTAGGAAAACATTGAAAGTAAATAGGCAATAGGGGAAAGTGTGGCAGATGCTGTTTAAAGAGGTTTTCAGTTGCTGTCAGTCCAAGACCCCCAAAGGATTAAAGGGAGTCCTCATCATTCAACCACAAACATGAAACCCTAGTCTCCTACCTTCTTTACCCCTCCCCTCCCCCACCACCCTGCCCCCAGGGGTTCATGGGGATGCCGAGGGCTTAAAGGTGTCATCCCTGAGGCCCAAACAGGGCAGCCTCCTTTTTAAGAATCCAGGGAAATGCAGCCAGAGTGGATATGGGGTGGGGCCGAGTTTTTGAATCCCTTAAACTCCGTTAAGGGTACTGCCGTGAAGATCCTACAGTGAGGCCTACCCTTTCGGTAGGGATCTAAGAGCCTTTTGTAATTCAGATCTCCACAGGTAGGGAGTCTTTAGGCCGGCTCTGGCTCCGAGGCCTTCCCTGGGGCCCTTGCCCTACCCTGCTCACCCCCACCGGACCCGGTTCACCGCCTGGAGCCTCCCCGCTCCCCTCCCCCTCTGCTCTAAGGTGGGAACTGTATTCCAACTGGACTTTTTTTCCCCCATAGGGAGGAAAATGTTCTCAGAGGTGGTTCGGGTCTATGGCTCTTATAGGTTTGTAAAGGTGCACAGCTGGGAAGGACCTTCCGGGACCGCCAACCCAGCCTACTCCTGACGCGGGGTGGGGGGGGGGGGCCCACAGGAGTCAGTGGCTGAGCCAGGGCTGGTCTCCTGGCCCTTAGGGTCACGCCTGGCCCACCCTTAATAGCTCAGCTCCACCGCGGGGTGCGCCGGCCACAGGCGAGCTGGCAGGGGCAGCCGGCGGCCCAGAGAAGCAGGGACTCCGGGCTCGGAAAGGCCGCGCGAGAGGCCCGCGGGGAGCCGGGCGCGTGGGGCCGGCCTGCGCGCGCTCTCCCGCCGCGAGGCCCCACGCAGGTCGGGCCGCCCGGGCCTCCGGGGCCGCAGCGCGGCCGTGTGCGCGTCTCCGGCCGGCGTGGCCAGGCTCTCGCCTTCCCCGCAGAGCGCGGGGCCCGGGCCGCTCTGGCCCCGGCGGCGGCGGCGAGCGCGTGGACCACGACCCTGCAGGCGGGAAGTGGGGCAGCAACCGCAGGGCGGCCGACAGCTCCCTCCCCGCCCGCCGCCTCGCAGGAACGCAAGCCCTCGCCACCACCAGCCGAGCGGGCCGGGCCTGCGGGGAAGACGGACGTGCCACGAGGGGCCCCTGCCCTCCAGCGCGCTCGGGGCCCGGGTCGGGGGCGGGGGGCGCGGGCGAGGGCCGCGGCGCTGGGGTTAGCTGTCGGCTCGGCGCCCGCGGCGGCTCCCCCCTCCCCGCCCCCGCCGACGTCGCGCCGCGTCCGGAACGGCCCTTCGGCCCTCCGGTGCCTGCCCCGAGTGGTGCAGGGGCCGGCTGTGACTCACTGAGCAGCGAATGGGCCAGCACCCCCCTCTTGGGGGGAAGGTACGAGCTGTTTCTCTCCGCCTGATCCGAAGGGATTCCTGCGGTGGGGAGAGGGGGAACCGGAGTTGCCATTTTTTAAAAGCTCCCGGGGTCCCTTCTTTCTGGGCCTCAGTTTCCCATCATGAGAACGCGGAACAGCAGCTGGTCCCTGGGGTCCCTTACGGCATCAACGTTCTTAGGATTGCCGGTGAGGCTTCACAAAGGGAATGATTTTCCTATCTTTGCTCACTACCTACTCCCTGGCAAAACAAAACAAAACAAAACAAAACAAAACAAAACAAAACAAAACAAAACAACAAAAAAACCAAACCAACCATGAAAGGTGGTCCTCTGCGTGCACCAGTACCATAGCAAGAGAATTTTAGAAACAGATCCACCGGATGATGAAAGAACATGATTCTGGCGAGGATGGCACTTGTACTGACTGACCACACTTGTCCCCACCCTCTAAACTTCAGTCTGTTCTCACTATAGCAGCTGGGCGGGTCCGGCTACGTCAGACCCTGCCCCTCCTCTGCTCAGGACCCTCGCAACTTTACTTTGTCTCCCCACTCTTCCCAGCGTCCCTCAGGGGGCTTCCACAAGCCCACCACACCCACCTCTGATTCCTTCTCTCGAGTCTCTCCTCACCCTGCCCCCACTTCACTCAGGAATAGCCCCCCAAGACCTTACCACTAGCTCTTTCCTCTGCCTGGGACGATAAACCTGCAAGGCTCTCACCCTCACCTTTTATGTCTTTGCTCTAATACCACCTTCCCTGGCTGCCTAATTGAAAATTGAAACCCACAACCCAGCATTGCCTCCCCCCTTCCTCCCCTCCTTTATCTTGCTACAGGAGCTAAGGAGCATTGTAGTTTACAACATTTATCTCGCTAATTGATGGGCACTCCCCACCAGACAGCGGCCACCTGAGGACAGGGACCCGTGTTCTAGTCTGGGCTATTTCCCCGGTATGGGTCACAGAGCAGCCACGCCATTCAAATTTGTTAACCGAGGAATGCATTTTTCAATTGACCTTGATGCTCTAGGTAAGCCCCAGGGCAAAAGGACCTCCTTACATTCTTAAGGCAAAGTCCCTGTCCTCAAGCAACTTGCAATCTGGAGAGTAGACACACCAACAGTGCTAAATGGAGTCTAGGATGAAATACATGCCAGACAGAGGGGCAAGCAAAGGCCAAGAGGAAGGCTTTATTCTGATGGCAGGTGGAGCCGAGTCTGGCAATGCTTCTCCCCGCCCTTTAAGATTTATTTATTTATTTGTTTGTTTGTTTGTTTGAGAGAGAGAGCTAGTGGGGCAGGGGAAAGGAAGTGGGAGAGAGACTCCTCAAGCAGACTCCCTGCTGAGCATGGATTCCCACAACCCTGAGATCGTGACCTGAGCCAAAATCAAGAGTTGGTCGCCCAACTGACTGAGCCCCCCAGGCGCCCCTGGCAAAGCTTTCTGAGTAAGGAGGTCACTTTGAGCTGGGCACCGAGGGTTAGTGAGGTTTCCATGGGCAGAGAAGGAGCAAATTACCCCAGGCTGTGGGGAAAGCAGAACCCGTGAACAAGAGATGTGGAAGTGTGTGGTGAACTGGTGGGAGAACCTGAAGTCTAGAGTGGTCAGGGAGGGCCACAGTAAGAGGTTGTCCTGGCAGACGTTGTCATCTGTCATCTGTAGGTTCTCACAGGCCCTAGAAATGGAAGCCACTGCAGGATTTTGAGCACACAGTGACCCAATCAAAGCTGTATCTGAGAAAGCAGCCCCTGTCGCTGAGGAGGATGGGCCGGAGGGGGCCAGAGGCAGAGAGCTGGTGTGAGCCTGGATTTGGGATCTTGGCAGTGAGGGTGGGGAAAAGTAGCTGGATTTGTGCCCCACCCACCTCCCATCCCACGTCCAGCCAATAGCGAGCATGATCTTTTTTCAAACCATAAATCTGACCTTGTCAGCCCACCCGCAGCTTCTCCTCCCACTGCAGTGAGGACAGAACTCTCTCGGCCTCCCCCCCCCCCGCCCCTGCACATACACATACACACACACACACACACACTCACACACACACACTTCTGCAGCTTCTTCTCCCTTGCCTCCCCTTCACCCTTAAAAGCCAGTTTCCTCCCTGGGCCACCCCCCACCCCAACTATCAGGAGTGCGCATGTATGTATGCCTGCTCTTCTGCTGCCTGGACTCCGTCCCCCTTCTGGGGCCCAGGTGAGTCCTAACCACCCTGGAGACCTCAGCCCGGTTACCGCCCCCCCCCCCACCCCAGAGGCTCCTGAGCTCCCTCAGCCACACTTTCCTTTCTCCCTCTGATCTCCTTTGTGGCACTTCTCCCAGCCATCACTTGGCCACTGTTTGGGTGATTGCTTGTTAAATGTCCGTCTCGGCTGGGTTTCTGCCCAGCTAGTGCAGGGCCTGGGGCCCAGGAAACACGCCGAAATGCTAGATGGAGGAATGAATTCCTGAGAAAGTGAAGGCCTGCCTGTGTTTTCGGATGCCTGGTGCAGGGGGCACACCTTTTCTCTGGTTGCAGGGGAACGATGAGAAAACTCGAGGACAAATGCCAACTGCACAGAGGACTTAATTCAGCCAAGCAGGTGAGTCCCTCTGTATCTACATCACTTCTAGAGAAGGCCAAGGGCACTCCCCTTTGGGTGCCTGGTGCCACGGGGCGGCACTGGGGAA